GGACTTCACTGGCTGAGCTAGGCGGAAAGCAGGACCAATGAGGACTCTAGGCTGCTCGCACGTGCTTTACACGTCCTTGGTCCGATGGATAATTCGCTGCTTCTGATTGGTGGCTTTGGGCTATAACAGTTGGGCCGTTACGAAATTATTACTATTTAATACATCCATAATCTTAAATGTAAATAAACATTCAATTTTAATTTATTACACGTTAAGTATATATATCATGCATATAATATTTTTTGGAAACCTAACTTTCATCTAGACGTGAATTGAAAAAAGAACTTAGTTAATTTTCTCATAATACTGAAAGTAATTTAGTTGATGTCACTTGTAATTAGCATTATGAATGACAGTCATGAAAATAAATATCAGTTACAATGAATTAGAACGACAAACTATATTTTAAATCTGATGGAACAAACGAACTAACAGTTAGCATTACATGAAATATCGTTATATACCATTAAATGTTTGTTAAGTATAAAATAATTTATTAATATTTCTGTGGAATGCCATGCCGTGTAATTAGAATATTTTAAGCGAATGCTTTTAATAACTACAGAGAAGTAACTGTATTATATTGACGGCTGGTTCATAATATACACTAACTACTTTAGTCACATCGGCTGACTATTTAATAGTAAGTCAAATTTAAACAATACTGACAAACTGGATGAATCGATATACTAAGTGCGTTGGGACGGTGTGGAGAAGCAAGACGTGGAGTCCATAGGCTCTAAAGGAGCCGAAGAGATTCCATCTAATCAGAATGTGATAGAGCCTTCTAGAATATCAACGTGGTATGCTACGAGTGGACGACAGCATAACTCGCCTCCTTGTGGATTGGCTGAACTATAATGGTGTTATAGTCAACGCTAATAACTATAAATACCCATGTTTTTTGTACATGATCACTTCCCCTGTATTTTCTGTCTCCTGATTTTACAACTTTGGGATTCTACACGTTCGAGTGCTATTAGCTGTATATCATATTCTGGCGTAATCAAGCAAGGGACTTAACAGATAAGGTAGTTTTTGTAAAGTCTGAAAGTTGTTCTCTCCACAAATTAACATTTAACAAAAAATTAGTATGATGTCAGAATGAAACTTAGTGATTCAATCCCATCTTTTTATCTTTCAATTTGTTAGTTAAAACATCCATGTCAAGGTTTAGTTATAGAAAAAAATTTAAACCATTATGGGAAAATTATTCAATGTTCCTTTATTCTTTAACATTTCTTTAGATAACAACATTATTCCTTGGTGTAAATTTTGTGTAAAAATTAAAACTGATTAACATTTCACTTTAAAACTTTCAAATTTATTTAATTACATTGCTTGCCCTCTTAGAAATTATAATATTTATTCACTTGAGTATTCTTGTATTATTTTACTGACTGAACATTTTAGCAGATGTGGAGTTACAATGTGAAGAATTAGTTTGTTGAGATGAAAAAAAGTGAATTACTTAGTCTTTTCATATGTCGGTAAACCGATTAGAAGTTTGGTTTATTTTTGTATATTTTCCAATAACAACACATTTACCTTTAAGTACTTAAAACATATCAACATGTTAGAAACTAAACTGATAACAATAATACATAAATATATACTGTGTGTTCTTTTTTTCATTATTAAAAATGTCCTGCTTTACACAACAGGTCATTTAAAGAATTTATACTAATCACCATTATATTTTTGCGGTTTCTCTCTGTCTCCATCTCTGATAAGATCAATTCTAATCTTAATTTATAGACTACAATTTAAATAAACTGAATAGATCAGTTAATTTATTTGATCATTTGATTACACCTGTTCATAATGTGAGTACAATATTCAATGGAAAAATAAATAAATAAAAAAAGATGGGTCATACAACTAACAAGAATGTGTTGATAAATTCTTAACTACCACCATTACTACTACCACACACACACACAAAGGAATACAATTTGTAGTTGAGGTGATCATAATCTATTATCGACCCTTTTTTGTATCGATTGAGAAGAACCAGTTTTTCCTTAAATATTTACATTTTTTTTTGTCAATATTTCTATTGACTACCATTTATTGAAACTATTTAACAGGAAGTTTTAGGTTTGCAAGATCACAATGAAATAAACAGAAAAGAAATGGCGAATTGTTTAAGATAAGGAGAATTTAAAATTTAATATACTAATACTTTAAAGCATATAAAAGTCTATGTAGAAAATGATGGAAAAGTGAAATTGTATTGTTCAATTTAACAGGTGCCATATTTTTTTATTTCATTGATAAATTATATAAAAAGAAACTATGACTGACATATGGAAATATAAAAAATCTATATAGCATATAGCTGTTAAATGTCTCACTAGAATCATTCAATACATCTCAGTAGCTATGTGTTCGGTTTATGTACTAAGTTGTTCTTTTTTGTATAAGGGCTACTGATATTATCTCATTGATCAGATGAAAGTAAATAGCTAGCGGGGAACTAAATTACACTGTAGAAAATATTTGCTTTAATCATAGAAATTGTAAACCACTATAATAAAATTTGTTGAATTGAATATTCGATTATAACTAAATATTGGACAGGATTTCAAAAACGTATATTTGATTTCATTGAAAGTGTATAAATTATATTGTAATAAACAAATAATTTTCCCATTGAAATCATGAATCGATGAATGTTAAACCACTATTAAAAACCTGAAAGCACTGGACGGTCATTTCATCCTAGTATGGGACTCCTTAGCAGTGCGTATCCACGATCCCTCATATGTGGTTCTTAACCAGGACCTTCAGTCTCGCGCGCGAAGGCCTAACCTACTAGACCATTGAGTCGGCATCCAATGGTGTTAATGTCTAATTTCGACCAATCTAAGAAATTGCGTGACGATCTTCCATTGTCTGAGGTAGATATTTATCTCTACTTGATACGGATTAGCTCCGCTTGAATCCTAACACCACTGGATGCCGGCTCAGTGGCCTAGAGGTTGGGCGTTCACGCGAGAGACTGAAGGTCGTGGACACAAATCGCGTGTGGGGAATTGTGAATTAGCACTGCTGAGTAGTCCCATAGCAAGATGAAACGGATGTTTAGTGCTTCCAGGTATTAATGGTTATGGTCGAAGTGTTGTAAACAATTTTAAAATTTTACTTTTTTCATACTGGGTATTCACTATTTTTGCTTGATTTACCATTAAATTTATGATGAGAGGTGTCAGTTTAAGTACTTAAAATACTTTTCAGTTTCTTATAAAAATTAAAGTGATTCGTTGAATAAATGATCATAATGTGCTAGTGAGTCAATATTATTGAAACAGAGACACAGAAAGAAACTAATGAAAATCAAAATTGTTACTTATTAAGTTAATGACTATATTTATGGATATATATATTAATGAATGGTAGCTAAAATTAACCTTAAGATCCTAGAGTCAACCTTCAATTTGGTAATAAAAACTCCGATTAAAACAAAACATTTATCCATTACTTACTAGTTTTCTGTGGTTGCTTAACTAAAATCAGTATGTAATGTTAAAATTAGACATTAATTATTTCTTTCAAAAATCCTACATTCTCACTTCTGGATTTATTTTTACCGTAGTTTTTTGTTTTGATTAAGTAGAATGAGTATTATCAAGACGATTTATCACGTGTTTATATGTTACAAATAAGTGATAAATTATTGCAATTAATCCATAATAAAAAGGAATTTTTTGAGAAGATATAAAAAAAACACAGCATGAATCACCAATAATAGTAATAATAATAATAATGATAGTGAATGGTACTTAATGTCATGAACACTATTTCTGAGTATTTTATTCAAACTCAATCGATTTGCATTGAATGTCGATGATTGTGGTGGAAAATAATAATTTGTAATAAATACTCTGTATTATTAACGTAACATAAATTGAATTATTGAGAACTGAGTGTTTTTTTTTTATGTCAGTTGACTGTAAGAAAACAAAAAAAAACGAGAAAAGTATGCTCATTGTATATTGAGAATTACATTTTTCTGTTGTAATTGATCAATTTGTATTGATGTACATGTGTATCCTTAATAGACTGCCTTAATAATACCTATTATTTACGACTTTTGTTTAGCATACACTAATCTTAGTATAAACAGTAAAATTGCAATGCTGACATATTCAGTTTACAATTCTTAAATTAATTTGATAATTATGTGTTCTGAGAAGACCGTGATAATCTATCATCGCTTTGTACGGATATATACCATTGTGATTGGTTGTGAAATGCTTAGAAAATTGGGGTATTGTGGTTTTCTACTGATAAGTGAATCGTTTAAAATTTGTAAAAATCAATTATCTGTATTCACTGGTGAGTCTAATGAGTATGTTTTTATTTAAAGTCAGGAATAAGTATATAATATGAATTAAAATTAAAATAATACTTCGTTGATACAATGAGAGGATAAGGTTAGTCACACCTATGCAATGAACTTCGTGCAATCATATATATATATATATATATATATATATATATATATATATATATATATATATATATATATAATTGTCACAGGTTTGCATGATTTGAACGAAAACAGACCTGGACAATGTCTTTGCTTTAGCCTGGGACTATTTATAAGTTTCGGATAAAAGGTCATATAATTTTAGGACTACAATTTATTTATGAAAGTGGTTTTCTCTGAACTCACAAACTGTCAGTCTCAAATAAGGTTAATACTCACGATAGTGACATTATTATTATTATCATCATATTTTTCTTGTAAATAGCTTATTCAGTAAGGACTGATTAATATATGTAGCTCCAAAACACACTCTAAGTACGGGTGCTAGTGATATTACTTAGTGACCTAGATCAAAGTCTGTGGTACGACGTTCCAACTTGCTACTATATATCTGAAATCCGAAAGTCTTACCAATTAAACCAATATCGTAGCTTAACATACACATAACATAAACTTAAGATTATGGAAAATAGAATAAAAATATAATAATAATAATATAACATACCAGTATGTGTTCTTTTATGAATTTTTAAATTTTCACTACGTGCAAATACTTTCATACATCCACTAAATGGACATGGAAATGGTTTTTCACCAGTATGTACACGAATATGATTAACTAATTTATATTTTGCTTTAAATGGTTTACCATCTCGTATACAATCTTTCCAATAACATGTATGATCTAATTGTTCTGGACCACCAACATGTTCTAAAGTTATATGATTAACTATTTCTGTAACTGAATCAAACACTCTAGAACATGGTTTCGGTATAGAACCAGGTATTGTAGGTACTGGATCAATCCATTGACAATAATATAATTCGTTATTGATTAAATTTCTTACTTCACCAGTTGGTACAGATGTTAATGTAGTGGAAGCTATATGTTGATTCATTGATAAACGATTAGATAAAATATGTTGTGGTATATTATATAATTCACATGTTGCAGAAGGTAAACAAGATGATGTCGATACAGAAGAATAGGTTGGTAATGGAAAATTTGTCTCTGAAATATGACTATTTACATTAACATGTGATGAAATTGGAGTAGACGTTAAATAATTTGTTGATTTTATACGTCCTGTTGTTTTATTACATAAATTTGAATTATTATTATTATCATTGTTATTATTATTATTATTATTTCCTAAATGTCTGTCATTTAAATGACGACAAAGTTGTGCTGTATTTGATCCTGAAGGGGATAACATCACTGATGGTTGTGTATAATCAAAAGATGTGGAATGGACAGCCACGGCAGCTGCTGCTGCTGCAGCTGCCATCCCTGTTGAATATGAAGATAAAAAATTTGTTGAATATTGAGCACTAATAATTGATTGAGGCCATATATTTGCCAATGAAGTATCACATGATCCAGTCGATTGTGAAGTATCCAATAAATCTTCATTCAATGTCGGTGGGGTAACATAACATTGAGGATATAATAATTTTAAATGATCCGCACTAATTGATTCTTTTGAAGAGTTTATTTGTTGTAAACGATTCAATGAATGATACGAATTTGAATTAATAAAATTTTTATTATTACTTGTCTGATTTGATAAATAAGATAGAGCATAATTTAAGTGTCCACGATTATTATAATCGATTGCTGTTTCGGGCATTAAAGTTGAACAGGATATCGAAGTAGATGAGGATGAGGACGATGACAACGTGGACGCTGTTGACAATGAGTTAGTTGTATATGGTGCAATAGTTGGAAATAAACTGTCAGTATCAGTTACATGTCTAGATTCATTTGATAAGTGATAATTTTCAATAATAGGTACATTCTCTATGTAATTAGATGGTGCTGCTCCTGATCCGGTCTGTGGTGGTGGTGGGGTTGTTGTAGTAATCTGTGACAACTCCCGATGTTGCTGTTGGTGGTGGTGATGATGGTGTTGATGAGTTGATTGTGATACTGTATCATTTGGATAATAATGAGAATAAATCAATGGTGTATTTGATAAATGGGAAGTTTGCGATCTTAAATGGGATTGTGACTGAGTATTTACCCCAGGTGGCAAAACATTGTATAATTGTGTGTGCATCTTGTCGTTATCTGTTTTTTGTTTGTTTTACTGTCGTTGAATATATCTGAAGGGGGAAATCGATATCGAAAAAATTGAATTAGTTATTAACTGTCTGTACGCGTGTTTTGACCTATTTTAGAAAAGATACTCAGTTGGAATTGTATTCAATTAATATTAATCAGTATGAAACATGTTAGGGTCTTTTGGAACCCTACTGAATGATCGACAGGTTGTCTAATATAAAATAGAGGCCATAAATTATTTTAAATTGTTGCCTATTTAATACCACGTGGTTTCTTCACCGTTGGTAATTTTCTGTATTCAAATGAACGGGAAATATATTCGTATATAATTATAGTTGACAAAGCCTTGACGACAGAAACTCCAGTGATTTTATTACTCACCAGGATGTAGTACACTTGTAAAACCAAAAGAATATGCTTCTTGAAGCCCCCTTACCGCGTAGTCAAGTAGTACACTGTCCGGGAGGTTTTGATTGCACGCTGAGTGATGACACTTTGCAAATGGTCAGCTTTATTCCCTGCTGCGCCTGGTATCAACAGATTTATCAGTGCTGTATTGTGAATACAATTTGACTTTAAGTTTGTGAATATTTGTTACCTGTCTATCAGGTAGCCATATCTGATTAGGATGCTGTTATGCTATAGGTCAAAAATATTTAACCACCTACTACAAAAAAAATAACGAATCATTATCATGTCCCAAAATATAGTAGGGTGGTATGTCTGATATGCCACCTACAGTGAATATAATTAAGGGGTAGACAAAAATAGTTAATACGGTGTTTTATATTTGACTGTTTTAGTATGATAATAATACTGTAATCTAGCCGTAAAATACTATGAAATGATTGGCAGGAATAATGTGGATTAGTAATAGAACGTAAATATAAAATCAAAAATAAAGGTAAGAAAGCCACAAATTTATTTAGTCATGTGATTGGTGGACCAAATTCATTATGCTATTGGTGACTTATGTTAGTAAAAATCTGATTGGTTAAAATGTTAATTACCCTAAAATGACGTTGATTTAATGATGATAAAGTAGGTAGAAAATTAATTATTTTGTCTTGTATATTGATTCTACCCTCTTAATTATGTAAAATGTTATTTTTCTCATATGTACTTGTATTTGACAATGTACTTGAAATTTCCAAAACAACAGTATTGTGAAAACCACATTTTATGTCATAGGACAGACTTAAGCATAATGTATTTTTAATCATTCACCTTAAATTACTAATGCTATCTAAATTTGAATCTGATGTCTATAGAATTGTGAAAAAAATATTGTTTAACTGATGAAATTAACTTTAATTCGTTGCTTCATAACTATTTATCAAGTTTCTGGGGGGGGTCGTTCCCCTATTCTCAGTTATGTTCGTCACGTTTCAATATATATTCTTATTTTGATAATTAAGATTATGAGTCAATTGAAGCTAGACCACCATGGAAAACCTGGAAGCACTGGATGGCCGTTTCGTGCTATTGTGGGACTCCTCAGCCGTGCGCATCCATACCGTGACTAAAGGCCCTGGGTTCGAAACCATATTCTAATACTTCCTTTGCTTACATTTAAAAAAAATGATTCTATATTGTTTTTATAAACTTTTATTTGAAGTATCAAGATTTTGCTTGAATTATGAACTTATTCTACGAAATAAAATTGAACTAGTTTCTTTGGTTTTGAAATATTGAATACATCAATCGAAGTGTTCAAACATCAATAAATTATATGTAAATAGCTATTCTGTTTAATTAAGATCACTTTTAAAAAATGATTTTGGGTTAAATTAAGTAGTAGCCATTATTTATAGTGTAAATCATGGGTGTTGTCTCAACTGAATATCATATGTATTATATGTATATAATATCAGCTGGTATTCATTAATTATGAAAATATTAGTAGTAGTGTGAGGAAATGAGAGAAAACTAGAAAGAAATTTCAAACATAATGACAAGTTGATATGATTTGAAAATGATTTATATAGTCAAAATCGATCGATAGTCAGTCTTGAAATCAAGTTCCTGAAGTGTTAAATAAAATGATAATTATCGTTAGATCAAAGCATGTACCATGCAATTTCATTGAGGTTCTCTTGTCGTGAATGACTTTCCACAGAACAGTTAAGGTCCCATTGAACTGTCCTTAGTGCTTTTGTTAAGCACGAAGGCCTTAATTTCAATCCCTGTGTGAAGTGGTATACTAGAAAAAAACCTTATGCCCACTGTTTCCTGATGCTGGGTAGTCGGCAAGAAATCCTGCTTGATTTAATTTTCATGACACTCGGGACTTGCTAGAATGGAATGCTTACAACGTTAAGGCATCTGATACTATAGAATTTGGACTCGCATTATCCGCCTTCATAGTCGTTGCGATTTCGGCGCTGCCATCGAGCTATTCAAGCGGTAACTGACCTGTAGTACTGAGATAATTACAAATTATAGACCGAAGTAGTGATTACTTCGAACCACATGACATCTGAATGCAGTGCATTTGGTTTCGAATCCTTCAAACTAGTAGCCACATTACTTACTTACTTACGCCTGTTACCCCTCGCGAAATAACATAGGCCACTCGCCAGCATTTTCCATCCAACCCTGTTCTGGGCAATCCTTTCCAGCTCTTTCCAGTTGTTATTCATCCTTTCCATATCTGCTTCTATTTCCCGACGTAATGTGTTCTTTGGCCTTCCTCTTTTCCGTTTCCCTTCAGGATTCCAAGTTAGGGCAAATATGAAATCGATTACTAATCAATGATCAATCAGCTATAACCATTTCCTAAGTTAATTATAGTTATCACTTTGTGATGTAAAAAAAATCCATGTCTATGTCTAATTCACCACAATCTTACAAAGTTTATTAATAATCTAATTTTCGCGAAAAAAACCCAGAAAAGAATCACAATAGTGTTAAAAGCAAATGAAATTACAATAGTAATTTAGATGTTAAAAGAAATAACTTGAATAAAACAAGATCATATGATACTGTGTATTGTTTGTTCTTTATCTGTCGATCGAAATAGTTATGCCAGTTGACTATGATTGTTTCGTTTTGATTAAGGAGGGGGGGGCAGAAACGTCACTTATTACACTTCATAACTTATCTATCTTTTCGCACAAGTCATAATTTGATGATTAAAATCATGTTAACGATTTAATTTAATTTTCTATTTTGTTTCTGTTTTCTCGCTCAAACATTCGAAATTCATCTGATTAAAATATTATTGACTGATTGACTGGAATTGTAAAAAATAAATCGTACTAACATTAGCTATTTATAATCAGATCAAAGTTAAGTATTCATACCAGATGTGTATTTAACTTTTCAAGTAGATGTTAATTCCCAAGAAATCAAAGAACAAACAGAACAAATGTATGATGTAATTCTATATGAATTTATCTATTCCATATATATGTGACAAAGTTTTTAGAAAGATGGGAAATGGAAAATAAGTTAAGTGTACATCTAGTGAAGTATCATGTTGGTCAACCAATAAATGTCAATCATTAAAATGTCTTTCTTTCTCTCTCTCTCTCTCTCTCGTAAATCAGTACAAATAAAATGGTGAAATAGATTGTATGATTAACATAATTTTGAATTTTTGATACAAATGTGATGTTTGTTAAAAAATCTTAACATTATATAACAGGAGACCATCAAAACAACAAGTCAACTGTACATATACAATTGAAATGAATGATAATTCAGGATACCTAGAGAGAAATCATTAAAACAGAATAAATATTCTCGTTTAATGTTCAGTTTGTTAGGTTGAACACAGATGAGTGGCACTACGGAAATGACATTGTCATTAAGTGTCTTAATTATCCGGAACTGCTTTGACCTAGCCATTTTGCTGCAAGTTATATAGAACAGATGAAGCGCTGATAGCAATGAAATCCAGGTTGCACATTTCGTTCTGTTTGGAACTCGTTAGCTGGATGTGTTTGAGTCTCAAAACCGATGTTAGTGATAAGTTTCAACCTCAGTATATTTAGTATCAAACACTCGAAGAGTTATCCATTGAGCTACTGAGTTCAGATAACCACTAATTTATTCAGCTATACAGGGCAAACAGTACAGCATTCAAATATGCTGAAAGAGCTTGTTCAAAACTCAGCCAATAATATCAACAACAGAATGATTCAAAAATTTTCGAATAATGAAGTAAATATCATACATTGAAAAAACTCAGTGTCTATCTGGACACAGTAACTTAGTAGACAGGGTATTTTGAGTTTAAAGTGAAGGGTGCTGGATTCGAGGTGTAGTGTGGACATTAACACTGGAATGCATGTACGTCCAACTCCGCCTGGAGTCCCTCCGGGGGCTACTGCCGCTTCCAAGACCGGATAAAGGAGAACGGTTGGGCATGGGGTTAGCGTCTCCATCCCGTAGAAAACTAACTCGCTAAAAAAACGCTAACCAGAAAAAATTATTCAAACCTTTTAAACTCTGCCCTGGGAGTCAGAAGGTCTTCATTTAGAAGAATTATGACGCCTCATGATGAAAGCCGAATTCCTTCGGAAGTTACGAGGCCGATGCCCCTTCTGACAACCAGAGCGACCATTTATTTAGGTACATGGAATGTTCGTACAATGTGGGACACCGGGAGAGCCTTCCAAATTGCTGCAGAAATGAGAAGATACAACCTAGAGGTACTTGGGATCAGTGAAACACATTGGACACAAGTTGGACAACAACGACTAACTACAGGAGAGCTCCTGTTATACTCCGGCCATGAAGAAGAAAATGCACCACATACACAAGGAGTTGCATTGATGCTGTCCAAACAAGCGCAAAATGCGCTTATAGGATGGGAATCTCATGGACCAAGGATCATCAAAGCCTCGTTCAAAACAAAGAAAGAGGGTATTTCAATGAACATCATCCAATGCTATGCGCCTACCAACGACTACAATGAAGACGCTAAAGATCAATTCTACAATAGGCTGCAGTCAATCGTCGAGAAGTGCCCAACAAAGGACCTGACCATTCTGATGGGAGATTTCAACGCCAAGGTTGGAACGGACAACACTGGATATGAAGACATCATGGGACGACACGGACTGGGAGAAAGGAACGAAAATGGTGAGAGATTTGCAAATCTATGTGCCTTCAATAAACTGGTCATAGGCGGCACCATATTCCCACATAAACGCATACACAAAACCACATGGACTTCACCGGATCACACTACACAAAACCAAATCGACCATATTTGCATCAACAAAACGTTCAGGAGGACTATAGAGGACGTGAGAACCAAGAGAGGAGCTGATATAGCATCAGATCATCACTTGCTGGTCGCCAAGATGAAATTGAAACTCAAGAAGCACTGGACAACGGGGCGGACAATATCACAAAAGTTCAATACGGCCTTTCTT